TAAATTGAATTAAATATTGTCATTGATTCTATAACAGTAAGAAGATATCAGATGTCTTGTATTTGTATAGCACGTGAAATATTAATGGTAAATTTTTATTTTATTTTTTTGGCTTCTATCGAACAAATCCCTCATTAATCAGCCCAGGCAGGCATGGCCAGGCCCAGCTCAGGACTTTGCAATTCCCGATGTACGGACAAGATCGCGACTTACAACTAGCATACTTGAGTAACACGTGTTGTTGGTTTCATGGAAACTTCTTTCAGATCCACCGTAAAATAGTGGCACGGACATCAAGGACCGTTGGGACCCTTCATTCAATTCATGATCCCACTCAATCGAGCCCGTCAGATCTTGTTCTTCAATACGGTCTCAGCTCACACAACACTATTCTCTTTTTAACGCGCGTGTATGCCACAGCCAAAGCTTGTGGTCGGCAGCGGTAATTTTCACTTGGAAAAATAATTTTTAATTTTGTCAAGCATTATATAACACGAAAGTCGAAACCATTAAAAAAATTTATGATCTAATGGGTTTTAATGAATAATTTTTTTTATAATATTATCACATTTATCTTCGAAATTTTAAATTAAAAATTTTATATCTAAATTTTAACTTAAACCCTAGACTTAAGTGTTGTAGGTGACTAAATAGTATTTTAGGTTAGGAGTACCAAAACTTGAAATAATTAAATTCTGTTCTTGTTTCTTATATGGTAGACAATACTTTTGATTGCATTTAAGTGCTATAATAAGACTATAATCTTAATTATATTAAATAGGGATAGACCCGATTTTCTATCCTATAGTACACAATAACAACATTAAATAAGAACACTAGATAGGTATGAATAAAGCCAATAAACTTGTCTTTATTAACTACCAAGGGGTATCCTAATGTTAAATAAATGGGGATCTCCCGTGATCTTACAAGTTTGAGCTCTCTTGATGATAAAAGAGCAAAAGATACTTAAAAAAAAAAAAAAAAAAAAAAGAGGAAGATCTAATATGGTCTTTTAAGTTCCAGTCCTCATGACCCTTAATAGTGAATGGTCACGAAAGCTCTTACTTGATTGATAGTTCTAGAGTCTCGGTCCCCATATCCCCTAATAGATATAGTCATTAGAGCTTACTTGGTTGGTAGTTCCAGGATTCCAAAGGATTAGTTAAAGTACGCATAAACTAATCCTTTAAAACCCTGGAACTATTGACTAATAGAATTTTATATTTGCTCTTTTGCTATATAGAGTATTTTATAAAATACTTACAATAATAAAAATGTACGCCTTTGTTTTGTTATTTTTCTCTCTCCTATTTCTATCCTACCCAAAATATATATTTGTTTCCCTATTCTCAAAATCTAAGGCCCCCTTTGGTACATAATTTTTCCCTACCTTATTCTCTATCCTATCCAAAATACAAATTTATTTCCTTATTCTCAAAATATTATTCTATTTTATTCAATTCTTTTTAAACCCTCTAGGTTTGTTAATTTAACTAAACACCCCCCAAAAAAATTTAGAAACTTACAAAAACACCCAGTGACTCACATTCCAAATTCTGGCCACAACGTCGGAAGCTGGCCGGAATCTGATATAATGGCGCACTACACTATCCATATCTGGTCTGCCGAAAAAGGCTAGATCTTTGGATAACCAGTCGTCAACGACGCCATATTTTGGACGTCGTTGACAGCCAATGCGGTCAGATACACTTGTAGATCTAGCTTTTCGACCAAATCCATAATGATTGGTCGAGAAAGGCCTACGTGCACATCGGGCAAATCTAGTGGTCGCGTGCTGATACGGCAGACCCTCTGGCGGTGGTGGCCCTATCGATATTTAATGGGTGGGTGGGGTGTTTTTGTTAATTTTAAAATTTTATATAGGGGGTTTTAGTAAATAATAAACCTAGTGATATTTTGTTATATTTCAAATCCTACTTCGTAATAACCACAAATTTTACTTTTTTTTTTAAAATATTATTATAAAAGTATTGAGTAATGAACAAGTGCACCCAATCCTATTCTATTCCAATTAAAATATTAAGGTTCACATTCTGATGCTTTTTATAAAGTATTGGAAAAGTAAAGTTGAGTTCAGTTGGGTTATCTTTAGAGAAAGATAATTATGAATGTTTTGGTTAATAAAGTAGAATTAGATTTTGAGAATATTGAAACAAATGTATTTTTGGGTTTTTAGGATATGATATGATATGATAGGTGAATATGATAAGGTAAAAATAGTGAACCAAAGGGGTCCTAAAGATTTTTTAACCCCTATGTTTGTTAAATTAACTAAAAAACCCCAACCGACAATATTAGTCGGTCGAGCCATTACAAGGACTTCGACCACCACCGACAGTAGTGGTGGGTGTCACATTTAATGGGTAGGTGAGAGTGTTTTTGTTAATTTAAAACTTTATTATAAGGAGTGTTAATTAAATTAACAAATGCAGAAGATTAAAACATAATCTTACTAAACATGTTTTCATTCAAATCTTATCCTCGTAATAATAACTCAATTCAACTTTTTAAAATATACTCAAAATAATAAAAAAATATCCCATTTTTTAATTTATTTAGGAAATTAAAGATCTCTAACACTCTGAATTTAACAGTAAATACAGTTATTGCAATTGCATTCTACTTGGTAGCTAAAACTTAAAAGGTAATAATAGTCTTACAAAGAGGTATCAAAGAGTCATATAAATAGTTAAATTTAGCCCTTTAAAATTTATGATTGTCTCTTCTCTTTTTTTTTTCTTTTTTTAAGAGTTAGACTTTACTCTTTAAATCTTTAATACCTATTTGTAGACTAATATATTTAATTTAAAAAATAAGCAGTCGTGTGAGCTTGTGGGTTCGATTGAGTGTGTGAAAGTGTATGTGCGATTACATGTGTGCAGACAATTTAGAATGGTCGCAAGGGTTTATTTGTGGGGACCACATGTACAGTGTCATGTTTGATGCACCAAATTCTGTCAAGTGTTGAATGCCCAAACATCCAAAATTGTCGGCGGTGAGTTTTATTTATGATTTCTTTTTTTGTTGAGACATTCGGGAGCTGTTCACAAAAAGTTTTCGAGAAAAATTTTATAATATTTTTTACTTTATAGAAAATTCAAGTAAATTTGATTATACAAATGTCCTACCAAATTTTTATTCTAAAACATCATATAATATTTTGTGCAATATCCTATTAATGTATTTATACGAGATGTTAAATAATTTAAGATAAAGTTATATATTTTTATTTTCTCTCTGAAAAATGCTAACATTTCAAACATCACACACTATATATATATATATAATATATAATATATAATATATATATCGAATATAGAATAAAATTAAATTTTAAAAATCAACATCATATAAATAAATAAATAAACATTTGAGATTATTTTAAAACACCACTAACAAATAGATAAAAATTTTTTCTTAGAAAAAAAAAAAGATAATCAAATGTTTTTATGAAGATTATTGATCAACTTTAGAATTATAAATAAATTGTAATTATATAAAGTTTAATCTGTCAATTATTAGTAGCATGGTGTAAAACATGGTATGGAAGAAAGTGGGTTATGCATGTTATAACATTGAATATAAGTATTTCAGATTGATATGGTAATCCAATTATTACATATAATTCAACTCAATAATAGAAGAATAATGTTTTGTGAAGAATTCACATGATCATATATCATCCATTCTCCTTGTTTACATCAATATTTTTCCTATAAATCTCTTAATTTGATATTATAATTTGGAAAAATACTCTGATATTAATATTTTGTGAGAACTAAAAAATAATTTTTTTAAGTGTTTAACTTATTTTTTTTTTTTTAAGTAGAGGTTATTATATTTATTTGAATGATTGTAAAATAGAAAATTGTTATAATTATGATTAATTGATGGCAATTGTCTCCATTACCTTTCATTATGTGCTCTTCTCATTGATTACTTACAACTAATCTCCTATTTAATTTTCAAATATTAAAAAAGTGATATCTGGCATCATGAATCTATATTCATAGGAAAGATATTGTGACTAATGTTTTCTTGTGAACTTAGAACATGTTTAAAATGATAAATAATATAATAGAAAATAATTTGAAATGAATAATATCAAAATATTTCTTAAATGAAAGTAAAAGCTCTTTTGTATTTATTAATTTTATTTTAATTAATATGTTATTTAGTCTTGAAGGACACATTAATAAAAAAAAATAAACTTAAAATATTTAGACAAATTATGAAAATATATTATATATCTCAAATTTAATTTGAAAGTGAAGTGATGTCATTTAGAGGTACAAATTATGAGCACTTAATAATATCACATAAAGTAATAACTTGTTTAAATTATAAAAAAAAAAAAAATGAGTAATATTATTCATCACAATATATATCTCAAATTTCATATTGTAAATACATGTCATCATATTTGACATTGCTATCATCCCAAATTATATAAAAAACAAAAAAAAAAAACCTTCTATTGAAGTGTGTTTATATTATTTAACACTTAATATCTAAAATTAGGAAATTTAAATAAACACATGACAATTATTTAAATAAAAAAATAAAATCATGATCTAATGAAGAAACTATAATTCTCAAAATCATATCCATATATATGGTGTAGTTAATTTTGTTAAGTATCTCCGACCACGGCAAGTTGAGATTCTTTTAACATAAATAACATATTCATTTATAAATTATATTTAACTCATTATCAATTAATATAATAAGGCATTCATTACAATCAGAGAAAGTCAAAATATAGATTTCTACTTACCAAAAATATAAATATATAGAATTTCTCAAGTTAAAAAAATATATATATATATATATATAGTGTCCATTTAAGGGGAAAAAAAAAAAAAAGGCAGTTGGAGTAGTGTTAAATGCAAAGTGGCTCACTCACAACTGTTCTCAGATATACACATTAAATAGCGAAACAAAACGGAACAATCCAATCCTCCAACGCCTGCCCATCTTCTCCTCAGTTTCTTCTTCTCAAACCTTATTATGCTTATCATCATTCTTTAACTTCTTCCCCAGAATCGGAATCTGAACAACATCTCTTCATGGTTTCATTTTCACTCCTAAATCCAAGTCCAAGACCGGCAATAACGAGAACTGGGGCATGGGTTTGCTTCTCGTCTTTCTTCCCGAAGATCATCACGACAACAACAACAATAAAAATGATTCCTTTCTTGACAAAAAAATACCTTTTATCTTCTTCTTCGTTTCGATTAGAAGAACAAACTCTAGCGTCTTGTTTAACAAAGCTCAATCGACGATTTCCATTTGTGCTCTCTTTGTTTTTCTCACTCTTCTTCTCTTCACACTCTCCACTTTCGAGCCCTCTGGGAACACTCCCAATTCTATTACAACTCCACGGAGATTTTTATCTCAAAAATCTTCTTCCTCAAACACATTTCTCTTTCTTGAAAATGCCCGGTATTTCATAACGATAAGCTCAAAAATGAAGCGACGTCGATTGCTTTACAAGGATGGGTACTTTGTACAGGCGTGGGACTAGAGCCGTGAGTGATCTCGTTGTTGCTCATGTGATTAAGATGTTAAAGAAGATGAATTTCGTTTGTTTCTAGACTTTTGCATCGCTCTGGCCTCACTGCGAGAGCTGATGTTGCTTTTCTCTTTCGTTCTTCGTCTGTGTTGTTAAAGTTTAGTTGTAATGCGTGAAGAGAACAGAATCGTTCTTGAAACTCATTCAACATTACAAGGAATCGAATGCCCGAGTACTAAGTACTCGGCGCTGAGTTTTGATATAACTCAGTTTGTGAAAGCGGCGAAGAAAGAAATGGGGGAGCCTCTGTGGGGTAAGAAAATTCGAGGGAATTTATCTAACTCGGGGGAGATAGTGATCAAGGTGAGTCCAACTCGCTCAATTATGGATCCATGGTTGGTTTTGAAGTAAGCGAGTTGAGACCCGAGGAACTCACTCGCTGGGTTTCTAGATCACGTTCCAATGAGTTTGGAAGATGGGCTTGTTACCCAATGCACCGGCCGAGTCAGGCGAAATTTTAGCATATTGCTTTAATTGATGTGAAAAACATGGCCGTTGTCGGTGACCCACTCAGCCGAGTCAGGAATCGGAGTCCCGAGTCAGTTCATGTCACAATGAAGCAAGATAATAAGCACAGCAAACGAAATTCGGACACAGACTCAGTTCAAACCAGGCAACTCGGCAATATTGGGTGGGGACTCGGGGAGTACGGAGACTTTCAATTGCGATGTAACCGAAATAGTGAGAGCCGCCATGCAACACAAGAAGAAGAACTCAGTGACCGAGTCAGGAATATTAGTCAACCTGTGGGAAATGAGCACATACTGAAGAACATCGATTTGGTTACCTCAACTGAGGCAATCCCAGACACGAGTTCATCGTGGGTCAAGCTCAAAGTCAAGTTTGGTGAGTTGTGGATTAATGCAACGTGGTAATAGTATCATGATGTTGTTTCTTCTATAATTATAAGCAAATATGTAATAGTGAAGGAGATTTTTCTGTTTATAAAAATTTAGATACAATTGAAAGAGAAATAGATAGAATTTTATTTTATAAAATAAATATATGATGTAAAAGTTTTGTTTTTTATTGTAGTTTTGTGTATTTTTTGTGGTTACATGATGATGTATACAAAATTTGACGTAAGCATATATATGGGTAGAGGATTTTGGGGCTATTCTGTGAATAAATACAAAAGAAAAGCCAGAATGGAACGATTAGGATTTTGTCACATGTAAACCATCACATTGTACTATCTATAGGTGTGATAATTTTATAAGATATATATATAGTTCGGAAATTTGAGGTGGTCAGTTCCAATATAAGATGTGTTGATTTCTTTTTTTTCTCGTAATCACAAAAACATATTATAATGTGAAAGATAACATTAATGGTGTTGTCAACATCAAAGAGGGCGTTTCGGTGTAATCTTAAATATCGAAGAAAACTATAGCCTCTCATTGAAATCATCTTAGATGTTAAAATCTACCGATTATAATAATAGGGAGGAAAACATATAACCCAACTTTGATGAGAAATCGATATCTAATTTTTCTTTAAACATAAGTTAATCTAATTTTATTTGTAATATTTAATATACTTCATCACATAATTAAATAGTTGGAATTTGGGCACACCCAAAAGAAATTAAAAAATGAAATTGTTATTTTGACAAAACAAAACACATGATACATAATAATTAAATAACTATTTTGGTTACATTTTGACTTGATGAAACAACAAAGATTGCTTTATTATGACTAATTACTCTCACATGTCCAAAGTTCAACAAAAAGTAAAAAAAGAAAACTACTTTCATATACGAATGAACTCCCTTAATTTTTCAAGGATGAAAAAGCTTAAAGTACAAATTGTACATTACATTTTGACAATAATCCAATAAAAATGTGTACATATATAATTATAAATATTCTCAAATTTTAAAACTACGTATGTATACATTACAGTTTTATCAGATTATTGTATGATAATGTGATACCACAAATTTAGGCTAGATTGGTCTCGATACTGAAGACCCATCTGGAAATGGGAAAGCAAAAGGTGAGGAGTGGAATTGGGGGTTGTTTGGAGGGATAGAAAGAGAAAGAAAGTGGAAAGAAAATGTGAAAGGGAAACAGGGATGTGAAGAGTGAAGACATTGATTAAAGGGCATGTGGGAGATGTAAGTGTGAATCTTGCTCTCCGCGTAAACAGTGAATTTTATGCTTTTTAAAGCATAAAAAGCACTATGTCGTGTTGTTTACGCGCCTTTAGCTTAGCTTTTACTGCTTTAATTGCTTCTCGGCCAACCACAACACGCCCTTGTTCTAAAAATTTCACATGCTACTTGATCATTTCACACCTAGTAATAAAATATGACATTTTGGTCTACAATTTGGTGATACTAATAATAATTCATTTAGTAATGGGAATAAACAATAATGATAATTAGCCAAGGAAATTATAAATAATTATCAATATATAAAATAAATCATTGATTTTTGCAGGACTTTAAACTAATATGGTTATTATTCTTTTGTATCGTTAGGGTTCAGTTCTTATATAAGACTTTTTATTTATTTATTTAATTTTTTATGAACATATGTGTTAAAGAAATGTGTAGAAACAAGAGTAAAGAGAATAACTACGGAGGTGGTTTATATTAAAATGTATAGCTATATTAATTTAATAAAATTACACTAAAACAAATAATATTTTATCGAAACGTAACCTGACATTCATGTTATAATAAACTTCATTTAGGGTTTAATGAGATGGAATTGTTAGTCCCAATACTGATATTTTTCCAATTTAAAGAGGCTGACATATTAATAAACAACATTTAATTGACTTGTAATCTAATTGGAATCTGGAGTATTCAATTTGCATCAGGTGGGTTAGCTGAACTGGGAGGGAGAGTCTTCTTGTTGTTCTTCAAATTGGGTTTTGACTTGAACCATTAAAGTTTATATATTGGATGCATTTATTATAATTTTATACATGATAATCGTTTGGTTATTATTTATTGTATGTGTTGGTTTGCAACATTTTTTTAATGGGTATTCACTCTCATGTTAGCTTCATTGAAATGTACAAAAAAAAATGACTTGTATTAACTTTATCATACATCATGAATGTTTAAATTTAATGTTTTATTAAAAAAATCACAGAAGTAATTTTAAAAATTTGAAATAATTTTTATAGGGTTAAACTCGTTACATCCTCTAGCTAAGTTTATTTTAATAGATTCTTCCTCATATGATAAATATTTATAATGAGATGGAAATTAAGAATATAATATAACCATCCATGTAAGGTCAAGCAAGAACATAGTATTGAAATTTAAAGTAATAAGTTCCTTTGGCTTAATATATATCTTTCATGTCGTAATCAAATGCTAAAACAAATAGAAGAAGGTGGGACAATCCTCATTTTCAAATAATTCAATTTTAAATTCAATGAACCCATGCTTATGCTTCCAAGTTACCATGTTTATGTATGATTGGTTAACTACATCTGTGGGAAAATTAAAGCTTCAATTATTAGAGGGATTACATCAATCAATTATATCTTTAAAGAACCTAGACCTTATGGGAGTAAAACTATAAACCTAATATCTCTCGTTTTGTGGTCGGATGATCCACCCTTGATCATTGAGGTTTGTTATAACTTATGAGTCTTGTATTCCAGTCATCGGATAGGCAATTATCAGGTTTATCCAAAAAAAAAAAAAAAAAAAAAAAAAAAACTATAAACCTAACTATCTGATTTTTTCACAAAAATAACTAAATTATATCTTTTCATTTAAATTAAATTTGATATTTAAAGAAATTACCATTTTTTATGCAAAAATATTTCATGTAATATTGTGTCTTAATAAGAAATATGATTAGGACATATAAATATAAAATATAAAAGAAAAGAAATTGATCCTTGGATGCTGATTCTGATAGGATAAATAGTGGTTTTCAAATGGCATCAAGCATATAAAAGCCAAGCCAACTCAACCCACCGACTCGACAATTATAATGCTTGTCACTTGTCCTCCTCACATATTCGCGCCACTATTTACTAAAGTTCTACACATAATTAACCATCTCATTTTATTTTTATTTTTATATATATATTTTTTTGGTTAATATTTGAGAAGGAAATTTAGAGGATATATGTTAAATTAACCACCAATGGGTGGCATAGTAATCAACTAGACTTTTGAGAATACTATTCAAGAGATTTTAAGTTTGATTCACTTAGGTTACTAATAGAGGTGGTTATTGAGGGAATTTACTGACTGTCAACTTCAAGGTTTCGAGATTGGAGTTATCGACTACTTCAGCATTAATGGGTAACGGAGACACACTCGGGGGTCCCGCTGCCCGGTCAGTGGACAGGTGCCCGCTCCCCGTGTGAGCGAGCGGGGGTCGCGGGGGCAGCGCCCCCGAGCCCGTAGGGGTTTTGGGCTTTTCCATGTATAACCGCTTGTAGGATTTCTTTTAAGTTATTAATTCCTTTGGGTTGGGCTTAGGAATAGGGAATCCGTAAAACTAGGTTTAATCTCTTAAACCTAGTATATAAACAT